GATAGATTGTTTTGTTGACAATTAACATTATGCTCATGATATAATTGTCTAATTTAAATTTGTATTATATATTCCAAAACAAGTCCAGTCCTTGGGGAAAACTTCAGAATGGACTTGAAAGTTTAAAGATACTCTTTTCTGGGAAACACCTAATATATAAAGAACTTTTCACTTTGCCCTGTATTTCAAGGGACCATTCATTTTACCACATTGAAAATAGCAGTCTTGAAGTTTCGATAATCGCATTCCAAACCTGCCACTCCACATATTTGCTTTGTGGTTGTAAAACAATCCAACACTTATTTTTTTTACTTTTATAGTGTAAGACTTTCATTGGTGAGCAATGCCCAAGAACTGGCAACTTCCCTGAATGCCCCAGAAATGTTGTGTTGGGGGAGGGGGGGAAACAAACTATTGTGATTTGTACCAAATCTCTCTGGTTCTTGAAAAAAAAAGCATTTCCAAGCAGGTTCTCTCCCCCACTGAAGAATTATTCGCAAAGAGAGAAGCCTCCTACCCACACGGACCCCTTGGAGGGCAAAAGAGAAACAAGAGAAAGAAAGAAAAAGGAAGAGAAAGAAAATTCCTCGCCCCAGAACTAAAGACCAAAAAAAGATGCCGAAAGACTCCAGGGACAAAAAGATAAGATTCCACCGGGACGCAGTTTCTTGGCAACCAAATCCTTTTCTGCAGAGACACAGAAAAGATTGCCCGGCATTAAAGCAAAGACAATGGTTTTTTTTTTTTTAAGTTGTATATTTCTATTCCTACCATTATTTATTCTAAACAAACGTAAACAACTGACTTTAAAACCAGTCGGATAAGGAAACATAACGCTACGGCTTAAGAACAACAAAGGCCCAACTTTTTACACATTTGCTAGATACTAGCTCTATGGTAGACTTTCCTACCAATCGGCTGGGTTGGGATAAGTAACATGGGTCAAATTATAGTATAGGTAGTCCTTGATTTATGACCACAATCGGAACCAGAATTTCCGTTGGTAAGCGAGATGGCTGTTAAGTGAGTCACACCCAATTTTAGCATCTTTTTTGCCCCGGTTGTTAAGCGAATCTGCATTGATTTTGTTTGACGAAAGCTGGCCAAGTAGGTTGCAAATGGTGACCCTGGGATGCTAGAACTGTTGTAACTCTACACCGGCTGCCGAGCACCTGAATTCTGATCACATGACTGTAGGAAAGCTATGATGGTCGTAACTGTGGAAGACCAATTGTAAGACACTTTTTTCTGTGCCACTGTAACTTCAAACAATGAAGTTGTTTGAAGTTATAACAATGGTCATAAGTCAAGGACAACGAGCCGTGCTATGTCATACTAATGAGTGAAGCCACCCACCCTTGTAAACCGTGGTTTATGTCTACCTATTTCGTGAATCTATATTAGTTAAACTAACACGAATGAAGGCTTAACACCAAGCCAGGGATCCTGCTAAGCGTGAATGGATGGACCTAATCCAGAAGCGGATCCCATTCCTGCCTTAAGCAGCATCGATTGATCCTTCCATCTGCTAAGGATAGGGATGGGATCTGCCTCTCGATTAGGTGCAGAGCAATAGGAACCGATCTTCCTGGCTAATACACTCACAGCCCCAGGCAGCTCATCCTTTGACCACAAACCTGGGGATGGAGATGGGTGGGAGAAATGTGTCTCCAGTTTGGGTTGACCCCACCCACCGCTCTTAATTCCAGCTTGCTCCTCTCCTTGATGGATGGAAACTAATGAAGGAGAGAAGCAACCTGGAATTAAGGAGAAACTTCCGAACAGTGAGGTCAATTAACCAATTAATAACATAACAATTAATTATGATATTTGTGTATCTATATTTTTCTTGACTGTATACCGCCTTGAGTCCTACGGGAGAAAGGCGGTATAGAAATATAATAAATAAATAAATAATAAATAAATAAACAAACCAGTGGAACAGCTTGCCACCAGAAGTTGTTGGTGCTCCATCACTGGAGGTCTTTAAAGAAGAGACCCGACAGCCACTGGTCTGAAATGATACAGAGTCTCCTGCTTGAGCAGGGGATTGAACTAGAACAGGGGTCAGCAACCTGTGGCTCTGGAGCCGCATGTGGCTCTTTCATCCCTCTGCTGCGGCTCCCCGTCACTCAAAATATGCATCACAACCACCAATGTGCGACACTTGCCGGCACGCGATTTATTGAGCTTTTCAACCCCCGGTAGGCCAACCATGGATAAATCCAAGAAAAGAAAAGTTTCAGAGGAAAACAGAAGGTTTAATTCAATTCCATATGCTAGTTTTGTGGCCGCTCAAGAAATAGTCAGGCACTGGAAGGGTTTTGTGGCTCCCGATGTTTTCTTTTCTGTGGGAAACGGGTCCAAATGGCTCTTTGAGTGTTTAAGCTTAAGTTTAAGTTTAATGCGATTTCTATGCCACCCTATCTCCAATGGACTAAGGGCGGCTCACCACAGTAAAATACACAATAACATTAATACAATATAAAATTAAAAAAGGTTTAAGGTTGCAGACTCCCCCGCCCCCAGGCCCCTTTCCAGCTCAATGGAGATTCTCAGTCATCCAAGTCATGGTTGTCCCAAAGGTGTTTTTTTTTTTCCCCTCCCAAGATGGTTGCCAGGTCTGCTTCCAAAAAATAGCGGACAAGCAGGGTGGGGGGTGGGGTGTTAAGTAGTAAAAAAATAAAAAAAAATTACAATTAAATTATATATTTTCTTACAAACATTTTAACACGTATTAAAATAATCCCTTCAAAACTTTACTTAAAATTGATACACAAGAAAGATACATATTGGAATGGAGAAAGATGGATTGATTATATTCAAAAATAAGTATCAGACAAGAAAATATCAAATAGTTTATGAATGAATGTTAAACTTTAGAAGTATTATGTTATCAATAGTGGAGTTAAGGTTTGGGGGGGGGAATTTGGCAGTTTAAGAATAGTTAGGCTAATTTAGCATATGATTGTTAACATAAATACCCTGTATTTTGCTCTGGGAAGTCTGGGGGGGAGGGGGGGAAGGGGTGTGTGGAAGGAACTGTGGGGGGGAGGGGGAATTTTTCTTTGTAAAACTTTTCAAAAAAAAAAAAGAATTATGGGTGTGGGCACGCGAGCGCAAACACCCCCCCCTTTCCTGGCACGCAATGGCAAAAAGGTTAGCCATCACTGACACAGCTGCCTGCAATTACTGCTGGTTCGAATCTCTCCAAGGCTCAAGGTTAACTCAGCCTTCCATCCTTTCTAAGGTAGGTGAAATGAGGACCCAGTTTCTGGGGGCAATAAGCTGACTTTGTATAAATATACAAAAGGATGAAGGCTATTGCTTAACGCATTGTAAGCAGCCCTGAGTCTCCGGAGAAGGGCGCATATAAATCAAATTAAAAAAAAACAACATCAAATATATTATAATACTATGTAAAATATTAAATTACATTTTACTTTGCTGTCATGCGCATTTTTTATTTGACCGCGCAGCTTTGATCAATTCTTTGGGTTTAAGGGATAATTCTTTACTTTCAATGCGACGTTGAGAAATATTTTAAAAAAATATACAATCCTAAAGCTTTTGAATAAAAAAAAATGTCCATGATTTTGTGAAAAAAAAAATAGTGAACATAATGTGAAAAAAAGCAGGACTGTCCGCTCAAATAGTGGACACCTGGCAACCTACGCACAGTCACTCAAGCACTCGTCACCTCTCGTCTGGACTATTGTAACGCTCTCTACATGGGGCTCCCCTTGGGGTACACCCGGAGGCTCCAACTTGTGCAGAATGCGGCCGCGCGGGGATTACGGGAGCGACGGGGCGCTCCCATGTGACTCCTCTCCTGCGCGAGCTGCACTGGCTTCCGGTGGACTTCCAGGTGCGCTTCAAGGTGTTGGTGATCACCTTTAAAGCGCTCCATGGCTTAGGGCCAGGGTATTTACGGGACCGCCTTCTGCCATTGACAGCCTCCCACCGGCCAGTTCGCGCCCACAGAGAGGACCTCCTCAGGGTGCCATCGGCCAGACAATGCCGGCTGGCGACCCCCAGGAGGAGAGCCTTCTCTGTGGTGGCACCTACCCTTTGGAACAATCTACCCCCAGAGATACGAGTGATCTCCGACCTCCGGACTTTTCGTCGGGCCCTAAAAACTCATCTCTTTCAGTTAGCCGGTCTCTCTTGATTTTATGATTTTTATGGTTGGTTTTTAAATTTTGATACGGATTTTAAATTGATATAATTTTAAACTATGGGCCAATATTTAATTATTTTAAATTCTATTTTTAATCGCCCTTTATGTCGAAATGCTTTTATTGTGGCTGTTCACCGCCCTGAGTCCGAAAGGAGAAGGGTGGTATAGAAATTTGAATAATAAATAAATAAATAAATAAGTAAGTAAGTAAGTAAGTAAGTAAGTAAGTAAGTAATTAAGTAAGTAAGTAAGTAAGTAAGTAATTAAGTAAGTAAGTAAGTAAGTAAGTAAGTAAATAAATAAATAAAAAAATAAGTAAGTAAGTAAGTTAGTAAGTAAGTAAGTAAGTAAGTAAGTAATTAAGTAAGTAAGTAAGTAAGTAAGTAATTAAGTAAGTAAGTAAGTAAGTAAGTAAGTAAGTAATTAAGTAATTAAGTAAGTAAGTAAGTAAGTAAGTAAATAAATAAATAAGTAAGTAAGTAAGTTAGTAAGTAAGTAAGTAAGTAATTAAGTAAGTAAGTAAGTAAGTAAGTAAGTAAGTAAGTAAGTAAGTAAATAAATAAATAAATAAATAAATAAATAAATAAATAAATAAATAAATAAATAATAAACCTTCCTTCCAACTCCGATTTCCCATTCTGATTCTTTGCGCAGCCCCTGCTGGGAGGGACCCGCGCAGCAGCCCGAATCCACAAGGCACCAGCCCAAGGAAGCGCTTCCTCCTCCTCCTCTCCTCCTCCTCCTCCTCCTCCTCCACCCCTTCGACTCGGGTTGCCCAGGTAGAAGGGGAGGAGCGAAGGGCAACAGGGAGCGGAGCCTGCAGAGCAGCCAGACCGCAGTTGGTGCTGCGCCCGGGCGCTCAAGCGAGGCGGCGAGGGCGCACTGGTGAGTTGGCCACGGAGGCAGCCCCGGCTCCCCTAACCAGCCGCTGGAGATGACGGAGACGCTGCTGCCCACCGGCTGTCCGGCCGCGGACCAGAGAGGCGCCTGCTATTTTCGCAAGGTGAGCGCAGGGCAGGGCAGGGGGGGTCCCTCCTGGCGCGGGATCTACCGACTCTTGGCGAGGTTTCCCGGGAGTGGGAGTGGGGGGGGGATCTTTGCTTCCACCCCACCCCCATCCCACCTGGTTCCGATTAGTTCTGTTCTCATCTGGTCCGGTTGGCACTGGACTTTTGCAAAGCAAAACAAAGCAAAATCATCATCATCATCATCATCATCATCATCATCATCCCGCCTGCAAGCAAAGCAAAATAATAATAATTATCATCATCCTCCCGCCTGCGTAACAGGTATTTTCTCCGCCGATTCGGAGCCTCCTTTATGTGAAGTTGAAGGGGGAAAAGGCAGAGGAGAATTGGGGAGGAGTGGGGGGGGGTGAAGGGGTGTTTTGCCTTCCGCGACAGAGAGACGAGCCTTACCCCCGCCATCCCCTTCCAGCTCCCTTCCTTCTTGGCGAAGGGAAAATCTCGGGAAAAGTTCTGCGTTTTTCCCTCCCACTCCTTGTATAAACTGGGAAAGGAGTGTAAACTCTGCCTGGTGGGTGAAAACCGAATTAGGGGAAGGGGTAGTGGTGGTGTGGTGGGTGAGGACTGGGGAGAAACTGACTGACTCCCATCCAGAAATGCACTTTTTAAAAAATTTTAATTTGATTTATATGCCGCCCTTCTCCAGAGACTCAGGGCGGTTTACAATGCGTTAAGCAATAGCATTCATACTTTTGGATATTTATACAAAGTCAGCTTATTGCCCCCACAAACTGGGTCCTCAATTTACCCACCTTAGAAAGGATGGAAGGCTGAGTCAACCTTGAGCCTGGGGAGATTCGAACTTACAGTAATCGCAGGCAGCTGGTGTTAATCACAATGCTATCAGTCTGCTGAGCCACTTGGTCCCTTGGGTTGTCTGCTGCCTTCCCCCACTCCACCCCGGTCCTGCCAGCTGCATGCTATATGGGATATATTTATGGATCAGAAATAGGCACAACGCCTTGGCATCGCTTTGCGGAGGGTGATAAACTGGGCAGTACGGGAGAGTGGCATCTGGGGTCAGTAGAATTTGCTGGAGATTTCTTCTGCGCGGTGCCACGCGCTTGTGGCTTTTATGGGAAAGGGGTCTGGGTAGGTCTTGGCTTTTTGTGAGACCCATCTCGGTTAAGGGTGCTTGGCGCATGCCTTCCTTGCCTTGATCTGGGAATTAAATGCGAAACCTGATCCTTTGATTAACAGCTTCTTGTTCAAGGTACAATATTGAATGAACTCAAAAAAAAAAAACTGTACTGAATGAACTCACAAAACTGATTAATTCTATAACCCAACAGTGAGTGAATATAGCCGGTTTATTCTCAGGCCACAGTTAGTATTTCTGCTGGGAACTTAAGAGGGGGGTGGGGGGAAAGCCTGGCCTAATTTTATGTTGTTTTACTCAAATTCTTACTAGATTTACTTGGGAACTGAGTCTTACTATGTGTTGAATCCATAAGGGAAGATCTACGATTGCGTTTCCCAATTACTGTTTGGTTAATATCTACCAAAGGGAGAGAAATCGTTTCAGTAAAGTTCATTAGCTTCCCTTAATTTCGGTCGGGGTAAAATTGTGCTTAGATTTCTCATGAACCTGTTCTTGCAGGTGATAAGGCCAGCGTAAAGTAGACAAATAATTCCATTTGCTGAAATTGGATTGATAATGTTCAGTGAGCATGAATAAGGCGAATCATTATTGCCTTTGAACATATGAAAAATTAAATTCTGGGCAACTTTTAAAGGGGTTTTTGAGGCTGCAGTCGCAGATTTGGGGGATATCTGTTGAAGGGTCTCAATCTGGACACCTCCACATTAGAGCAGGAACAACTCCTTCCTTAAGGTGTACATGTGCCTTTGGAAATAATGCTGCCAGAATTGAATGGCATACAGTAGTGGGATTCAAATCCCGGCACTACTGATTCGCTCGCTTTGATGATGTCTGGGCAGGTGGGTGCCGCCGCTGCTACCAGTTTGCCCGAACTGGGGTGAACTGGTAGCAACTTACCCCTGATGGCATACCCTTGGCTTTAAGAGTGTGACGTCGCACTTTTAGATGTCTGCTATGGGAACAAACAAACAAATAAACAAAACAAAACAAAACACACAGATTGTCTAATGGTCTCAAAATGTCCAGGATACAAAACTTCTTTACAAAACTTAAACCTTCAGTTTTGTAAAATCCTATTTTAAAGTAAAGAAGTGCTCATTATAGCAGTTAGTAGGTGCAACTTAATTATGTAGCATTGCATGCTCATTTAATATATATCAGCATCTGCTACATCTGTGTAAGTGGTAGAAATAACCACTGTCTCAATGGGGTGGTGTGATGCATTTTTCCTGTTCCGCTGAAGTCTTTTCTACTCTTGGTAGTGTCATATATTTAACATTCCTTCAGAAGCAACTTCTGCTTCCTACTTTTCATATACTTCCAGATAAGAATCCGCAGACCTTTTAAAAATTATAATCCCTTGCAAACAATTGACTTCACCGGATTTCCCAAAGATAGGTGAACTTTCTGTTCCTTTGGCTTACGATCAGTCATACTAAATCAGTCACTGATAACTGCAATGTTCAGGCCAAACCCCAAGTGGGTTGTTCCACTAACTAAAATTAGGGAGAGCTTGAGAGCAAGTATTTGACAAACTCAAGTATTGCAGTACAGCATATCTCTGGGGTTCATGCATTGTAGAAAAACAAGTTTTTAAAAAATAAATAAATAAATGTTGATTTACCCAATGAAGGCGAATATACGTGTCCCAGATTGGATCCTGCAAAAGTTTATTTGTTGGAGAAGCCACTTTAGCTAGGCTTGTATTTATTTATTTATTTTATATTTTGTAGTTCTGGATTGCCCATCTCACTCAGTAAATGGTATACAGTACAGTACAGTTGTTGTTGTTAGTTGCGAAGTCATTTCCGACCCATCGCGACCCCATGGACATACAGCCATACATTACAACTGGGAAAACCAAAGCCTTGAGTATACGCACTTTTGTTGGCAGGGTGATGTCTCTGCTTTTTAGTTTGTATATAGTACAGTAATATAAAACAGTATATGAGAATTAAAATGTTAAAATGTTAAAATTTTGAAAGATTATAGAATTATAAGCAAGTGTAACGAACACTCTGAGCCATAAACCAAATAAGATATATCAAGACTTAATGGAGTTACGAGAAATCAGTACGGTAATTGATAAGATCTCTCTCTCTCCCTCCCTTCCATTCCTTATGTTTACTCTATAATGATGGGTTATCAAAGCTACTGGTAGATCACAAACTTCAGTTTAAAAAGTCAAGACTCACCTAGATTAAGCTCAGCTTCTAATGGTAGAAGGGCTGTTGTTTTCTTCAGAGTGGTATGGAAGGATTTCCTTCAGCTACAAAACCCTAATGAAAGGTTCTCCCATAATGAAAGGAAATTGTTTTTTTTAAAAAAATAAACAAAACGTGGAGTCATGTTGTCCTTATTAGAACCAACCAAAATGACACTTAAGGATGTGCAACCATTCTCAACAACTGCTAAGCATATTTTGATCCCATCTTGGTTAACCCTAATTAAGTTCTCCAATTATTGATTCTCCTGATGATGGATTTCTCTCCTTTATGGAGACTGTCATTGTTTATTTGAAGGATTTGCGGTTGTTGGTGGGTTTGCCTCTCCTTCTCCTTCTCCTTCTCCTCCTCCAACCTTCTCCTCCTCCTCCTCCTCCTCCTCCTCCTCCTCCTCCTTCCTTCTCTCCTCCTCCTCCTCCTCCTCCTCCTCCTCCTCCTCCTCTCTTCCTTCTCTCCTTCTCCTCCTCTCCTCCTCCTCCTCCTCCTTCTCCTTCTCCTCCTCCTCCTCCTCCTCCTCCTCTCCTCCTCCTCCTCCTCTCCTCCTCCTCCCTCCTTCTCCTCCTTCTCCTTCTCCTTCTCCTCCTCCTCCTCCTCCTCCTCCACCACCACCACCATATCACCTTCTTCTCCACCTTCTCTCCTCCTCCTCCTCTCCTCCTCTTCCTCCTCCTCCTTCAGTATTCGAAAGGAAAGAAATCTAATAAGGTATGTCAGATCTCGGTTTTGCATTTTCCGCCAACTAGGAATGTGACAATGGAAGGAGTTAGCCTCAGGTGAGAGCTTACAAGTTGGCAAAGTTTCTGCCTGTGTATTAGATTACCAGGTTAAATTTAGGGCACTTCTAACAACAACATTGGCAGGGTTGGCAGCTCATTTGAGAGCGCCTGGCATCAACAGGTTTCAACTTCATCAGAAAGTTGTGCAAATATTAGTGAGAGTATCTTTCTCCCACCCCGCTTCTCTTTCTTTCTCTCTTTCTGTCTCTCTCTCTCTCACTCTCTCTGGTAAATATACATACGTGCCTGGCTAAACTCTCCACCCAGTTATGATGATTGGGTGAAGTGAAAGTGTAGCCTTAGATAATCCAAGAAAGTGGAGAGCTTTAAATAGTGTAACCAATGTACAGATGGCCTGAGGAGTGGGCTTCAAAAATTTTAGCAAGGAGTTCTCTGCCCGGTTGCTGGGTGGGCGTGGACATGGTGGGTGTGGCCTAGTCGGCCTCCTGCACCATGGGTGTGGGGGGCATTTTTGCCCTCCCCAGGCTCCTAGAAAGGCTCTGGAGGCTGGGGAAAGCAAAAAAATGGGCCTTCTGGTCCCACTGGAAGTTGGCAAATGGGCTGTTTCCGTCCTCCAGAGGGCCTCCGGGGAGGATGGGGAAGGCTGTTTTCGCCCTCCCCAGGCTCCTAGAAAGGCTCTGGATATCACCTCTGGATCACATGACCTCAGGACACTGCAACCATCATAAATATGAGTCAGTTGCCAAGCCTATGAATTTTGATCATGTGACCATGGGGATGCTGCAATGGTCATAAGTGTGAAAAACTGTAATAAGTCACTTTTTTCAGTGCCATTATAACTTTCCATGGTCATTAAAAGGACTGTTGTAAGTCGAGGTCTTCCTGTGTTAGAATTTGACCTGGAAGAGCAGAGT